AAAGCACTTAACCAATTCCATTTGTCTGTAGGCGATATTATTCCAAAAAAAAAATTGTATCTACTAAAAACAAACAGAAGAAGATGTGTTCATCCAAATGATAGCTTTATTTTAAGCGGTAATTAGCAAGCGATCTCCAACCTCTCAACAATTTTAGCAGGAACGCTATTAAAAAAATAAAAATAAAAATAAATCTTTCGGCAATTATAAACTGCACTAATAGATGATCAAAATTTCGGCTACTTGTTACATAGGACTTCAAAGATGACCATGCATTATAGATCTATCCTAACGACAAACACTTAATGACCGAGAATAGTTCAGATAAAGCTAAGTTGGTCAACTCATTCTTAAAAGTTAGTTAAATTTACAGTAAATAAATATAATTAAGCATTATCTCGGCGATTAATTTTTTTTTGGTTTTCTTTTCTTTTGGATACTGGACTCTGAATAGAGATTTTTAGGGAAGCATTTTTCTGACAGTTTGTCTGACTGTTTATCGGTGGGGACGAAAGATCTGTTAAGTAAGCTAAATTCAATGAAATGGATTTAAGTTTTGGTTTTATATCTCATGGTTTCTTGTGAAACCATTTTCTTGATGGTGAAATAGCTAAAATTAAAACGTTAAATGGTTTTTAAAAAATGCATCAGCTGAAGTCATTACTAACCGCGATAGATGGCAGTAGTAATCATCGTACGAGTATAAATACTTATAGAACTTTATAAATACTTTATGTAGAACAACATTAGATTTGCTTATTCTTTCGAATTAAAAAAGTTCTACGGAACATAGTATTTAGAGTTTAAACTGATACTTTTCTATCAATTAGTTTTATTTGGCATCAAGCAATAATTTCATAACTTTAAACATTATATACAAAATTTGTATTTAAAGACTAATTGGAACTTTTACTGATGACACTGTACTTCTAACAGTCGGAAAATTAATTTATATATTATCTTCATGCTAATGTTACTTTATCTTTAATAAATCTATATTTTAAACCCTAAACTTGTACAAAAGAACTACATCTAGCGATTTAATAGGTCCGTGACATGTTAAGTTAAAAAACTATCTTTAATATGTTACATCAATTGTTCATACAGACGTCCTTATTTTATATTTCTGAATTTCAATAAATCATATGTTACAATATTTTGCTACTAATTTAGTGCTTCTAATTTTTCATTGAATCATATACGACTTCAGAGCAATATTCCCTTGTCGTATCCATATTTCGTAGATATATATATATATTGGTTTTGCATTCAGTATGATTAATTTAAAATTTTGTGCTTTCTTGATTGTGGTTCTAGATTTTAGTCATTTCTATTAAACAAAGTAGGAACTGTTATCTGATTGTAATCTCTCTCAGATAATTTGTACTATTTCAAATGAGTTATTGTCAACATTGATTAACTATGTGGAACTGAGAAAATGGAAGATACTGTTTAATTTAAAATTGCGTATTTTATTTTTATTATTGTATTGTTCTAAAAATACCAAATTTTAAAATGTGATAAGTATTTGTTGTTGTATATAAGGTAATTTCTGTCGAGATATGCTATTGTTATAACTGTAATCATCTGTTTCGATCGATATTTTTTTGTTGAAACAATATAAAATCTATAGCAAGGAATCGGATTTGATAAAGATCTTTCACAGAGATCATTTCCTCCGGTAATAATGAAAGAAATATTTACTGCGATTATAACCAATTATAATTAATGTTAGAAAATTAAGATCACAAACCTCTTCTGTGATTGTTATCATCTACTAGAATAGCGTGAAACTGAAAACAAATAATCGAACTAGATGACAATGTTTCCAAGTGGCCTTGTGCCCCGGCAAGAGTTAACGAATCTATAATACATATAATAACAATAATAAACAGTAAATGTATAATAGGTTTTAATAATCGAAGTAAATTATTTCTATGATTATAATCAACTATTATAAAATTTGCCTAGTGTGCTAAAAATAAATTGCAAATAAATGCAATGCTCCATCTATTGCTTATTTTCCACATTTGCTGCACGATACCTAAGAAATTTATGCGGAACATAAAATATTGTGCAAAACCAAAGTTTATTCTGAAGAGAAGCTATTAGTTCCGGTTGAGATGATTTAGTTATAACAAAGTAATATCGTTTATCATTATGTGAACATTATTACTGAAGAATAAAAGAATATACAAAGAACGTAATGTGAACATATTTATTTTATTTATTTATTATAGATTTGTGTGTGTAAATACTTATACATATAGCTAAATCTTAGCAGGTGCTTTAGAGGCATTTATTATTCTCAAAACAGTTCATTTTGTATGGTCATCACTTAAACAGATCATGTATTTCTTTAAAGTACATGCTTATTTAAATCCTATCTGATTCTTTCTGTTGTCTGTTTGTCTGTCTGTCTGTCCGTCAGTCAGACGTTTTTATAATAGAAACGTAAATGATCATAATCCCACCGAAATTTGTACCCATATTAGGTAACGAAAATTGATATTCATTTTTTCAAAACTTCGAAAATTCGTACTCGCACAATGTTAAATATTTCCGGTAAACTCACCCACCACCCGCAGATTTTAGATAGTTTTTATCGATTGCACTTCTCATACTTGTAGCAATGTAGATACTTGAGCTACGTCGCTACTACCTTGCTATGCTTTTGCTGGTACAGTGCCATGAACACAGAGTATGGCAAATATGTCAAAGCAAAAGGTCACTTGTATTAACGCGATCTCAACATCGTCTATATGCTTGCATATATAAATACATAAATACATAAATACATCAATACATAAATATATAAATATGTATATAAATTTAGATATACCATATTCAGTTAAATTTATATAAATAAAATTTTAAAATAAAAATGTGAAATTAATTAAAGCGAATAAATGTTCAGGCAGCGATTGCAGATATTCGAGTTGAGTTGTTGGTGGATTGAATTTTTATAATATAAATATAAAAATATAAATAAAATGTAATTTGTTGATCCCTTATGGAAAAAAATAAAAAAAAATGGAAAAAAATGCGAAGATGCTCAAAAGGTAGGAGGAGAAAATGGATTAAACCTTTGAAGAGATACAATAAAATAAAAAATAACCCGTTATTAATGTAAATGTGCCACAATTAAATTTTAATTTAATTTGTTTTTATAATCTAATTAAATACTTATTTAGCTTAAGTTAAGATATCTTTTGCGTTAGATGTCTTTGGTCGGAGAGGTTGAAAGTAATCAGTAATCAGTAACCAACGGTGAGCAACGGCTAATTAACCTGAAAGGGTGCGCACGATTTACTGTTTTACATTTTAAATTTGAGAGAAAAAAAATTTTAAGCAATTAATTAATAAAACTGATTTTGACTAATTTTTATAAACAAATCCGAATTGATATTGTCGAAAGATACCGATAAAAATCATTTTGAGCATAAAAATTGATGTTATTTGATTAAAAGATTGAATATTCATTCGGAAACATCTTTTGCCGATTATATTGCCCTTAAAGTTGCCAGAGGAAGATACGTTACACTAACCATTATTTCTTATGTAGCTCTTTATATTCTACTTGTCAAAGTATTTAGTCTTCCGAACGCAGTTAAACAAGTCCAGTTAGTCAATTTTCATTAAGTTTGCCAAACCAGTGAAAAATGGACTGCTAGACTTTGAATCCACTTGGTCTGTAGTTCTAGACAAACACATAAAAACAAATTGATAAAGTCCACCTCCATCTCCTCTTCAGGGAAGGAAGTTCCTATACAACCCACTTGTCGCAATCGGTCATCTTTAAAATTGGGCGCAATATCACAATGTACCGTTAAAACTTTAATAAGCACACGAACTATAATTTCCTAAAACTCTAAAGACTTTTCGTTGTTCTCCTATTTAATCTTTGCCATAAGATCCTTGCAACCTTATTGCAAGGATCTATCCTGCATAATACGACCTTTAATGAGAGAAGATTTGATTGAAGCGTATTGTAGCTCTTACAGAACACCTTAATACGAATAAACCTTTCGATTCTCCAACTATAATACACTATAAAGAAACCGATAATAATACAAATTACTATGGTTAAGGTTAAGGTCAAAAAAAACTGCATTTACAAAAAAAATGCTTTGCTTTGAATTTTTAAGATATAATTCATATTAACTTTAAAAAAAACTCACTATATATGGGTAGTAGAATTATATATTTATTGTGATTTGGAATTCATTTCTATTTAATATAAAATTGATGGTTTGGTTTGGGTTATCGTATCATTACTAATCATAACTTAGCTGCATAGAATTTTTTATTATAATACCTCAAATGATTATATATTAATATGGATAGCATACAACAACAAAATTTTTTACGGTAGTATAGGTAACAAGTACACTGAAACTTATCGAATTTTTTTCAATTGTTATAAGTTATATACCTAAAAGAATTACACCTTTTTAACGAACACCAGTCGGCGTGCTCCTAAAAAATACATGTATTCATTGCAGATATATGAATATAAAAACCTAGTCACTCATTAGCATCATCAAATGGCTCTCACCGCTCCCATTAAAGGTTTGACCTTTCAAAAGGAGTTCACCACAATCCAGCTTTGAAACTTCCCAGACTTCAACAGTAAAACTCGATTGGGCTTATAACAATCCCGTTTAAAAACAAAACTATAACATTATAGCTACATTAGAAAACTTCCAATATGTATAACTGAAGGAAGTAAATAAAAATCATACATAATACATTTAATAAATTTAGAAACTGACATTATTCGTTGTACTTTCCATGCAAATATAAACATATTAACATACTTTTCATATAGTTATTATGCGAACTCTACTCAAAACAAATTTTTTCTACTAAAACAAAAGAGTTTTTAATATGCTGAGACCCTCCTCGCTCCAAAGCTTTTGTCAAACGATTTGTAATTTAATTTTAAAACGCATTGTTTTCATTTTAATTTCAAACAAGATTTTCCATCTAAAAAGAAACACAAAATTAAATTCAATTCCGCGCAACTTTTGAACTTTAAAATCTTCATTGTATCGTTCACAGTCTTCACAGTCTTTGCAGTCTTCGCAGTCTACGTAGTCTTCAGGTATTGGGGAAACCGGCGTGAATGTGGCATTAAAAGTAATCACTGCGCTGCATAACAAAACGCAAGTCTGCATTACTTTGAAGACAGAAAACAACAACAACTACAGCAAAGATATATACAATAACAGCAGCAGCAACAACAACAACGTCTGCAACAAATAACAATAATATATGTATAATAGTAATAATAATAAAAACGATTACCAAATTTTATCAATCAACTATATTGCACCCTCAGTTCTGTCAGCGGTCGCGCTTTACATTCATACGAAAATCGGCGAGAAAGACACAGATTGGTGCATCACAAGCGGACGGACGTTACTTCTCACAGTTGCAATATGCACCGTATTGTTATATAATCGATTACACAGTTAGCTGGTTATATTTGATGAGACTATAAATTTATAGAAACTGCAACAGACAACTATCATGCAATGATCAAGTGCATTATTGGTGGGCGGGTTGCAGATATACAACACTAATAATCACTTCAATTATGGAAGATCGCACCGGAGAAAACAAACCAACAGCGGTTGAACAACAACAGCCACAACAACAAAATGATACTCTTAATTATAAAGGACGTCCTATTTCCTTAAGAAGACAGCCAACCAAATATCCACACGGGTTTGGTATAAGCATACAAACAACAACTGGTAATGACAGAGAAGAGATGAAAAATAGCATGCCCTCTGAACTGCTGAACTGGACCCACTCCAATGCACATCAGGAAGTTGAGAAAACGTTAGATAATGTACAGCAGCAAAAGTACAAAATAAGTGTGATTAGCAACTGCGAAGATGTACCTGATCTACAAGTGCGACGCTGCAAGTACTCATTGACCGGCAACTATTGTCTAAACGACTTGGAGCACAGCACAAAGTCAGCAATGCTTCTCAGGGAGTACACGCAGCGCTTTTGGAATTGGAAATTTTTACGTTGGCCTGTTATGATTATTGTTAGTGCCTTATTGTTCTTCGGCGTGATCGCATACTGCGTTTGGCTCCATGACATAAGCGTAGTGCGGCAGAGGCGTTACCAATTTAATCAACTACAAATTTTGCAAAAACAGAAATCCAGTGATAGTGAAATCGATTTCACACAACTACCAACAACAACAAAAGTTGTGACAACAACAAAGAGCACTGACATCGATAGGGAAGTACATGAAATGACAATATTACGAGCAGTCAGTACAAATTCACACCAAAACTACGAAGATCAAAAATTGTCTACCAAAAAAAATAGATTCTCATACATTGAATCAGAGAAGAACAATAAAAAATTCGTAAATTTGGATGGCACTATATTGACAACAGAAGAGTCTACGCTAATACCAGCAAATATCATACGTTTCCGTCTGAAAAATGAGAAGGGTTATAACGTTCCAAAGGAAGATAAACCAACTATTTTCAGATTTCTCAATACCGTAATTTCAATAATAATATAAAAAAATAATTCGTGTCTTTATATTCTACACCCTTTTCTTTCTCCTAGATTTATTCACAAAACCCACAAGAAACGACAACAAGCAATTTTGCTAAAGTGTCTCCAACTATACCTCCCATCACACCTTCAATGCCGACATCTGCTATGGCTGCCATGCGCACCACAGTGCAGGAAAATGGTTGCTATTCCACCTCATTGCAAATGTGTCGTGGAGTTTTGGACTACGATTTGACTTATAATGTGAGTGCAGCAGTAACTGCTGCTGAAGCCGATGCTTACCAAAGATTAATCTACTCCAATTGTTCGTTGCGTGCCGTGGAATTTATTTGCGCCGCCTTAGAGCCTGAATGTCGTCCTAAACACATTGGCATACTTATGCCCTGCCGCAGATTCTGTAAAGGTATGTAGTATTATTTATCATTGTTGAGTTCATAAATCATCGTTTTGGATTTTCTCCAGGAATATTGGAAGCTTGTTCAGAAATCATTGCCAATTCAGATACACTGACAGATACTTTTGACTGCAATCGTTATCCAGATTCTAGTGATGCACATAAATGTGAAGATTCCACTCGACGACGCGGTTTTTGTTACGATAACGAGTTTCAATGTCTTGATCGTACATGTATACCACAACAATGGGAATGCGATAATATTAAGGATTGTTCCAGTGGAGAGGATGAGAATAACTGTCTTATTTGTGATCGGCAGGATGAATTCCGTTGTCGATCAAATGAGAAATGCGTTTCGGAATCAGTACGCTGTGATTTAAAGTACGACTGCTTCGATGGGTCAGATGAGGAGTATTGTGAAGATATTGGTTCAGGTGATGAACCGTTATTCAATGATACTTCATCTGATTTATTTAGCCAGATCTTTAGCTATGCCAGTTTTCTGCCGCCCAATGATACAAACAACAATCTTTACACATACATAACAGCAACAACAAAAAAAGACTCTGAAGGTGATAATAAATTTGATACAAGCAACATTCATAATCGGTCTAGTAGCGTAGCCGACGAGATAAATAATAATGTACCGAGCGAAGATGGAAAAGTATTTGGTTGGTTCATCTATTTGCTTATAGTTATTCATTCTAAAAACCTTTTCAAAATAAATTTTTATTTTTAGTTAATTTTCGAGATAGTAAAGAAATTATGATGACTAGCGACTCGGAAAACAAACTTAAATATTCCGCGGCGAGAACGAATAGAACGTCTTCGAAAACGTCGACAAATACGACGCCCTTACAACCCGCAGCGTCTGTGCAAATAGCGGTAACTACCGATGCACCCAAAATTCCGGTTGCCACTTGCAGTGATCAGCAGTTGCGATGTGTAAGCGGAAAATGCATAACTGTGCAACAGATTTGTGATAAGGTAACAAATGTATCGGCCAACTGCTGAGCAATATTAGTTACTAGATGTGACAGAAATAGTTAATAACATTATTGATAGCAGCTGTTATTTATTAATAACACTTAATAATACTTTTGCCCTTTGACTTATTCGTAATAACTTTGACTTAGCAGTGATTATTATTATTATTACTATTATAAACATATTATTAGTGACAATAATATATCGGGAATATATGTATACTCTAACATATTTTTGAAATATATTACATCTCACATTTTTCTTGCTTTTTTTGTATTCTTGATTTAGATAATGGACTGTCCCGATGGTGCCGATGAATTAATGTGCGTATACAAAGAACGTCGTACCACCACAACTCGTTACACCATCTCTGAGCCAACAACCACGACGAGAAGTTCGAAGCGAACAATGCGCACAACAACCACTAAAAAGAGAGTCACCACTTGAAGGCGAAGTCTATTATTACCACTTTTGAGGATTTTGCGATTTTTCAATTATAATCCCAGCAACGTAGATACATTAATTTACTTATGCGAATATATATATTTATCTGTGGTTACTTTTTTATTGTTTATATTTTTATTTGTAATTGTATTTTGTGCTAGTTTTAATGTATGCATTTTAATGAACGGTTATAACAAGTATCGAAATCCTTATTTGAAGAGCATCATATCCGATTAGTATGAGAAGCTGCTTATCCATATATGTTATATATTTGAACATTTTAATGCTGTTGTTATATATCTACGTCAGCTATAAGTAGAATCGGAGACTTACGCATATAAGCATTGAGTATATACATTTTCTTTTAACTAATCAAAATTTTAATTATTAACTTTATAAATATCAATTTACTTCATTTAAATTCATTTGTAAAATAAAAGCGACAAGTGTTTTTATTGGAATTGGATAATTTTTCTTTTGATTTTTATATATATATATATATATACTGTCTCAATTTTTTGACAATAAGAAAACTTCTATCAGAGAGGCATAATGAAATTATTTTGGAAATGGCAACAAGTTATCGACAAAACGATGCATATTTGACCTAAATCGAATCATTCTGACTAAATAAAATAAGTCTTAAATTTAATGCAAAAATAATGGATTTCTTTTTATTACACCTACTATATATAGTTTTTTAAATACTTATATTGTAATAGGACCGCAACCATTTATTTTCACTGTACTCTCTTGGATACCAATCACTTACCTTTATTCCGATCACAGCACTGCTTCGATTTGTCACTTTCATATGTTGTGTGAACAACCGGGTCTTCTACTGCTTTTCGGGTAATTATCAATTTTTTAGTCATATCTTCTGCAACCCTTATATATATTTATATGGTTGTCTGGGTCCTAACCACAATTCGGTGTTTAATTTTACATATAATATTAAGCTACAATGATTAAACAACCCGAAGTAGTCAATCAAGAGTATGTCATTCGAGTCCCAAAAACAGAAGCTATGCACTCTCTAGCTAAAAAATAGTTTTCCTCTTTAAGTATTCTTCAGCTTATGAAATATGCTGATGGACTCACATGTCTTGGACAATTACAAATTCATTCAAAAAATCCACGTTGTTTTATCAGGCACATGAATACGTTTGAGCGATGGTTAGCAAACCTAGCACCCACTAAGTGCTTGATGCACTTTTTCTATGTTTTTATCAATTTTTGGCTCTTCAAAATCGGTCAATCACAAAATTAGCTCATTTTTGATCATTTTCTCAAAAGCAAAAAAAATATTTTATAATGAAACATTTTATCGGCTCCTATTGTTCGAAACAATCAGGAGTCGTACCGCATAGCACCCTATTTTAAAGATCAAACTTCAGCAGCAAAACCTAAAGAAAAAAGAAAACCGTGAACTGGACAATCTATTGAGAATTACTCAAGCAAGAAAATTCGAAGCATGTGATAGAAGGACTTCATCCTAATCTCCTGATCTTTTAATTATATGTATAGCGAATTTGTGATGTTATTCTTTAAGAGAAAAATATGTTATGCAGATAAGTTACTTTTTTTAAATAAATACTTAAAAATTTTAAAAAAAGGTAAGATGAAAAAGGTTAAGTTCAAGTTCATCCTATGCCTATAGGACAACTTAAACGTTTCCTTAATATACATCGCCTATTTCTGCATAAAATATAGGTTTGGCTCTTATTTATTTGTCAATTATTTTCATGAATATAAAAAATAACTCTTCAGATTGAAAATAATACCTTTCATGTCCAATTTTTAATAAACTGATCATTATTAAATTATAACATTTGTATTTTATATTTCTTAACAAAAACAAAAAAAATAAATTAATTATTCTTGCTGTTCACTGATCTTTTTGGCGTTAGTGTTAAGCCACATGATCGCTTCGAGATAATGCCTTATGCGGCACGCATATGCTTCATTATGACATAACAATTAAATTTAACCGAGAAATGTGATCAGCGATCAATCAAATAATTAATTGAATTCGATATGAAACAAAAGTCATTCGAATTTCAATATCGCTTTCGATTTCATATTAATGGAGTGAATTATTTTCGAAATACCTAGTGTCTCTTTCAATGCTACAACAATAGCCAAATAGTCAAGTTGATAGATCGATGAGTTCATCGAGTCTTTGATGCAGTCATAATGCAGCAATTGTTTAAAAGATTATATTGGTGATCTGTTTTATCCTTTTATTTTTATTAATTTCCATATGACGTTTTCGATTTGATAAACATTTTAAAAATTTAAAAAAAAAACGCAAATATTAAAAATATACATATATTCTGATATAAATACATATTTAACATAAGACTATTGTTACTGTACTTTATAAATCGCACTTTTTTAAAAAATGTAACATAGCGATCATTTACATTAGTAAGGGTTCCGAGAGAGTGGCAGTACATAATATATAATCTTATAAAACTGGTACATTAGCAAGACAATACCAATGAAAACTAAAGCATCAACTTTATTTTCTATAAGCCTGAATTTTGGCTTTTACTACTTTCATATATGAGTCCTACAAATATCTATACACCTTGTACATTGTACAAATATATGTAATAATCATAATATAATAATATAATTCGTCAAATTTATTACTAGACTTGACAAGCATACTCACACTTTATCAGCAACAATAATTCCAGAAAATATATCATTAGTGGCCCGACAATACAGTTCAGGTCTTTGTCAATTGCTATATATTCTTCAACATCCTATTCCAAAACCAAATATACTTCAATAAACTGACCTACGTATAACATATATGTTTCGACAATCTTTTGTTTGCTAAATAGCTTAATAGCATGACCTACGTATTGCAATTTATTTGTTATGATACTTAAATACTGCACCTTGTATATTTTATTTACGATTGTTGATCCCTCAATGCGATCTTTTCATCGAAGACACAGAGACTCTATCTTCTTTATCCATCATCGTGACGTCACGACCAAGCTACTCGATATTAATTTGCGGAATATTTATAATGTCCTCAGAGAGTTTGTATAACCCCTAGAAACAATAACATCAACCAAAAAATACTTAAATAACTACTTCAGAAACAAATGTTCCTTAAAAAACAACTCATAAAATAGAATGAACCTGAAATTCTGGGTCAGGTTTCATGTCACATACAGAAACCGGCACGCTCAACAAATTACAGTATATGAAAATAATCTACAATAGAATGGTATATGAAGATAATGATCTAACTAAAAAATATTGAAATTTATATGTTTCCAATGCACACAGAAAATCGGAACTGTACTACTGTTTACAACATACCTTATTCATTATTACTAAGAATGGATTTGATCAGTTTATATTTAAATGTAATTATTCTATAAGCTAACATACATCGAATAATTGATCAAAAATCAAAAAATCAAAAATGAATGATCAAAACATTATGGTATCTGTATTGTCCCATTTTGTAGATAAACTATTTAAAAATAATCCGTTAATTTTTTAAACTCTTTTAAATCGTCGCATTGTCGTCAAACTGTTCCACCTCCTTTCGAAGAAAAAACACGTTTCGTTATTTTCTGGATTCCGCAAGGATACAAGATAAAAATATATTTATAAAATAGATTTTTTTAAATAGCTACCTTACTCATTTGGATATTTCACGTGCAGCAGGATATTTAAATTTTTATTGGTGTTAGGATCAGATTCATTTCTCTGTTTAAAGATAAGTTCCTTAAAAAAAGTTTCAATGACGCCTATTTCCTATTTCCTGTTCTTTGGGCTCAATCAAAAGGACAGAAAGACTGTCAAATTAAACTGAATTTAATATTTCAATCACTACGAAAGGTGCAATTTGAGTTCATCCCTACCGCAATTTCCAACATTTTTATATACTCTACTCCTTTGAGTAGACAAGTCAGATGACGGGTATGCAAATATGCTATAATTAAGCGATGAAAAAAGCTTAAGAATCTGCAAGAAATATTGTGTGGAAGAGGCACTTAATTTGTCACTTATAATTATCATTCGATCCTATCATGGAAGGGATACACTAAGATGACGCGATTTAATTATAATTTTATTACTTTTTTATTTAACACATAAATAATTTGTTTTAAGCCTTTCTCGTCTATTGAACTCAGCATGGCAAGGATATTTGACAAGGATACACAAAATTTTATAAAAGTCCGAATTTCATATCCTTTATGAAAGATATAAAGACTAAAGAATGTAACCAAATCGCTTTGCTTGTTTTATTGTAATTTTTTTGAACGATCATACCAATCGCATTTATGAATACCGACAATCCTATTGTTTGGGTTTTACTTTTTCAAGGGTTGATGAGTCCAAATAGGAATTTCGTGTTCATTTAATTTTTTCCCTCCTGCCTATGCTGGTTTGTAAAATTGCTTAATATTTTTACAATAAAAAAATGATATATTTTAGAAAGTGATTGATGTAATAAATGTGGGGTGGAATATGAAATTGATTGTATTGTCTTACCCATATGTAGTACCATAAGGTGATCTCTTTCGTTGCTTTCGTGTATTTCGGATGAAAGTGATAAGGATTCGCAATTAATCAGTTTATCAACTCCTATTAAAAAATCTTCTACTTAAAGCAACATTTTTTTTAAGCTGTTACTCTGGAAGATAGTATGGCTAGCATGATGAAATAGTTTCTATAAGAAACAGCAATGATGTGATGATTAGGAAACGTTCATCAAGGTAATTGCTACAGAAAGATACTGACAATAATCAGTGTTATAAGGAACAGCAATAGTGAGATAATCAGATAGCTTGTAATAAGGAATTTACCACAAATGGGATGCTAAAATCAACAAATACTATAAGGAACTGCAATTGTGCTATGTTTAGATAACTTACCTCACTAACATCACTAAAATTTCTACTACGTAATAAATAAAAATTTTGAACTAATTTTTTTGCCTATTTAGATATACCTATAAGAACTATATGTTCCCGTACTGTTTTTGGTTGTGATAAAGTATGAACTATATTCAATTATATATCTGATATATATAAGCAAGAGTATTTCCATGAATATATTCTTTTATCTCTAAGAATATAATCGATAGATTATGCATATAGGTACATAGAATAATTTTCTCTTCAACTCAGAATCAGGCTTTATCAATAGAAAAGTTTTTGGTCATTTTGATCATTTTACAGAACATCAGTTATTATAAATAATGACTCACATTCCATTTTTCTTATATATTCTGCATTTGACCTCTATGTCGTTACGGGCGATTTTGCATTATAGGATTAAATAGGATTAATAAGAATACGACAATAGTATTAAATGAAAGACAT